CACTAACGTGGACTCAAGGACAAACTGATTAGCATGCAGCGGTCAAAGATCGAAATCATCATGACTGCGCAAAACAATTTTTTCAGTGTTTATTATGAACATTAACAAAGTCTCCACTGATTGTTTGAGACAGTTTAAGATTACAGTCAGATACAGCCTGACTTAGTAAATCTAAGACTAGAAAATGAGATATTCAAATATTATTTTAATGGCTTTTCTGTTTATATTATCTGTCTATAGTGAGTCTCTTCAAGTTCATCAAAAGGTTTTGATAAAGCAAGTTTAACCTGCTCCATTAACATTTTTGTTTACATGTAGCAAATAAATTTACAGCAAACAGACAAATTTAAAATGCTAACACAGCCAGTCCTGAACTTTTTAACGTAATATATTTTTGGTGCTGCAAAAAAGATGGATGAGGTGGAAAGCAGCCAAACTGGTTTAAAATGCGATATAACGGCCATTTAATAATGTCCATAGTCAAAATGGAGATCGTGGTTGAATAGTTGTGGGACCTGGAGGAGGCCCCGAAAATTCTCCATCTTCAGTATTCTTCAAATATTCTTACTCTCAGAGCAAATGCATTGAGAAGTGGTTTCTTAAGTAACAAACATAGAGGGCATTATTGATTAAGAACACAGGGAGTAACCACTTGTGCTAGTAGCTGATAATCATTGGAGCTCTGTGGAAATATGACAGAGCGAGTAAAAAGATGTGAAACAAAGACTGCTTTGTTTTCATGTCCAGCTCATCTCCACCCCTGATGTGGGTCACATTCTGCAGCAAGCTCAAACCAATTATAAACCTCAATCTCTTCAAAATTAAAGAACTAAGAAACGCATCAAATTTTGAGTAACGTATCTCTGAGTAATAGTACAGTCAGTGACGTATGCTGATCCTCTCCCTCCGTGTTCAGTCCTTGCACAAGTTAAACCAATTTTTTTGTTTGTTTGTTTGTTTGTTTTTTAGGGAACTGAAAGTGAGTCAACTCTACAAACTCCTCCTTTCAGTTTGGGTCCTGGTGTCATCAGTATGACTGATTGTTCAAAGCATTGTGTGTCCACCCAGAAACATGTACGTGCTGTTTGTAAAAGGTTCGGTAATCCTGGTTGTGTTTGTTAAAAATACACATTACTGGGACTTCTAAGTGCCTTTTCTTATGTTTGACTTTCATTTTTAATAAGAATGAGTAGAAAAGATGACCTGACCTGTCAGCGTGTACTGGACACAATGAAGACAGGATTTATATTTAAGTTACGTTCGCGTTTAACAAAACGACCCTTTGTTTTATCGAAGGTTTTATCTGGCACGAGAAATTACATCAAGATTGCACGTAGACTAGCTTGTGCACAGTCTGTCCTCTGATAAAGACAGTAGTGTAAATCTGGTAACTGAACTGTGACTTGGCAAAAATGAACTTCATATCGGTCTTCGTCTTGTTCTTTAGATGTCTGTGAATCCCGATTTGCAGACTCACCGTGACTCAGCTATATCTTTGATAACCAAGACAGATTCATACATAGTCTGTGTCAATCACTGACGAGTCTCATGCAGGGCAGATTATTAGTGGAGGATATTCGTTATCATATATTACATTATCATAAAGCATGCAGATGTGTAGATGAGACATTTACATGAAAGGAAGACATTGAGCAACACACCTATTCACACACACACACACACACACACACACAACACACACACACACACACACACACGAATGTCTTCACAGTCCAGCATCATGCAGCAGATTTATTGTATCCATGAACCAAAAGATAAGAGAAGCACGGCCCACCTGTTGTCCCCTTTTATAGGCTGCAGACAGCAGCTCACCAACCACACTTTGCACCACCGCAGCTGCCCAGGTCTCCCTCAGCTACATTTGGAAAAGGGATTCAAAATGACAATGATACTGGGTTACTGGGATACTCGCGGGGTAAGTTCTACTTTCATTGTTGAATTAAAGAGCTCCTACTTTGAAACAAATCCAGGAAATGTTGAGTTTGTATTTACAGTGTAATAAAGTCACCCTAAGCGTACAGGGTCAAAGGAGGCTGACTGACTGTTGTAGCACTGCTGTTTAGTTATTATATCAAACAGAGCTAATAAAAAAATCTAGATTATCTTCAGCAGCTGAGGTCAATAAAGGTACTGTCAATAAAACAACTGTTCCTAATTTTGACCTTTTTTAACAGGTCCAAGAGATATAATGAGGTTATTTTGTTGCCTTTTATTTTTACGCATTAAAGTATCCAACCCTTTAAGATGGTTGCAAGGCGGTTTTCTTTCATGTTATTTCATTTTAGAGTTGACTCTATGAACACTTTGATGTAATCAGATGAAATTTGCAAAAATGGATTGATGTGGATCAAAAGTTTTGCAGGTGACCAACCTCCTAATTTCTCATCACACAATTCATTTTTAATAATGAAAACTGCATTCTGCCAAGAGCAGCACAAGTTATGTCCTCCAAAACGAAGAGAACCAATGACGTATCTACACATAACACAGTGTAGGTCTTACACGCGTGTTTGGCATGGCAAACGTCTGAAGGAGAATTGATGAAACCTCCGTTAGAAGCTAGAGTAGGTTGACTGTGGTTCAGTATGTGTGATCTCTGGACCAATACAGCCCAGGTGCCTTATTCTGCCTTATAAATAAGAAATTTGTCTAAAAATGGATGTGCAGAACAACGCAAATCTGTGAGTTATTGAAGTTACTGCTACTGTCCCACGTGCGTAAATGCGCAAATAATCTTTTTCCTGCGTTCCATGTGAGACTACGATTATTTAAGTCAGTACTGCAAGATTCCAGTTGCTATCCAATTGCACACTTTCAAATACTCTAGCAGTATACTAGCCTAAAAAAACACAGATACGTGTGTCTCACCTGATTATTGGACATTTGCAGCTTGGCCAGCACATCCGCCTCCTGCTGGAGTACACCGGAGACAAGTATGAGGAAAAGCAATACGTCTGTGGGGAAGGTAACTAAGCATTTTAACCCAGTGATACAAATCTGTCATAATTCGGGCTGAACATCGGGTTTACTCACGTCACGTTTTCTTACGCAGCTCCCGACTACGACAAGAGCCAATGGACTGACGTTAAATTCAAACTTGGAATGGACTTTCCCAACGTAAGAGCGTTTAACCTGTAAATATAAAATTATTTGGAAAGTTTGCAAATTTAAACCATCGGCTAACACTAATGCTGCAATTCACATCTCACCATAGCTACCCTACTTGGTCGATGGAAACAGGAAAATACCGCAAAGCAATGCTATCATGAGATACATTGCTCGTAAGCACAACATGTGTACGTTTTAAAAATTTATAACAAATTAATACTTTGTTCAAAAGAGGCAATTTCTTTGTAGATTTTTACATTATATTAATTGACAAACTAATACTGCCAATGCTTTTAAGTAACTCGGACCTCTAAGGTGTTGTTTGATAACAGGTGGAGAGACTGAGGATGAAAAGATCCGAGTGGACGTCCTGGAGAATCAGGCCATGGACCTCAGGCTTGCCTTTATTAAGCTGACCTACTTAAACATTGTGCGTGTTAAATTTTAAAGAAGAAAGAAAAAATTATTCATTTTTAGAACTGCTAATTTCTACTAAAGCCAATTTCATTTCTCTGACATCAGGATCAGAAGCCAGAGTACCTGAAGAATCTGCAGTGTACACTGAAGCAGTTCTCGGATTTCCTCGGAGGAAGAAAGTGGTTTGTTGGTGACAAGGTATGCTACTCCATAAACAAGAAAAGAGAGTCTTTGTATTTGCTTTGTATTCAGTGCCCACACTAGGGGGCAGAATTTGAAAAGAAAAGAAAAGGAATTTCTGTGTAGGCTGTTTTTTCCACTGAAGTGCTCATCATTGTGGATGCAAGTCTAAACTGTCACCTGTTTCTGTGGGACAGGAGTCAGGGGGGATGTTTGCATTACAAAAATCAAACTGCTGACTCTGCAATTAGCCGTTAACACATTTTATTGCCTGAGCCAAGACTACTATGGAAGCTTGTTAAAACCACTGGGGGAAAATGCCATCTATCAAAAGTCAGGTTATTATTTCAATAGTCCAAAAGTTGGAGTTAATAACCCAAAGTTTGTATTTGTAAATGGCAAAAATGTTTTTTTAAGTGGTAGAAACAAACTTCCATAAATACTGGTTCTTGATAACACCTGGGCTGTTTAGAGATGATTAGAGCGATGAAAGCGAACCAGACAGTAAGTTTGTGGATGGAAAACAAAATGTTGAACTTTGATAGGCTATAAAATTTCGCAGAGAGGACCGGCTTTCTTTAAGTTTAATGGTGCTCATGAATTATTGTTTGATTATACTATAAATTCTGCTGCCTTCAACAGATCACTTTTGTGGACTTCGTTATGTACGAGCTGTTGGATGAACACAGGGCCCTCGAGCCTAAATGCCTGGAGAACTTCAAGAACCTCAATGATCTAATGAAACGTTTTGAGGTGAGAAGACTTCAGTGTTCATCAGATACCATCAGTGCAACTTACACTTTGTATTTTCTCAAATATATATACTACAAAGTTATTCAGTCACTTTGGCTTCTTTTCCGGACCCCCCATGTCAATGACATTACTGAAACTCACCGCTAGGTAGCTTTTGCTTTGTATTTTTAACCAGATGTCTTCCTATATCATTGTAGGCTCTGGAGAGGATTGCTGCCTACATGAAGTCACCAAGATTCATGAAGGGTCCGATAAACAACAGGATGGCCCAGTGGGGAAAGTAACAAGGCCGAGAAAGTCCTGAAAAATGTTAATTAATGCAACCGCTGAAATAACATCAATGTTAACTTTGCTTGTACCCTGCTTTAATCACATTACACTGCCAAAAATATGTTCAAGCCATTAAACTCAGTTATGGTTTTAGGTTTGTGGGGGGAAAAATAATAATTTGCACTGATCACGAGGACATTTTTTTAAACAGATTAAAGAAACGGTTGTTCTGACTTTTCTGTTTTGGCGATTCAGTTTTTTCACAACAAAACACACGATTGTTTCTCATGTTTTTGTTGATCACACACGACACAGTCAATGAGGCAAATGCTGGATGAAGCCATTGTTTACATACGTACTCGTTTTATTTCATCAGGAAAAACTATACAAAGTCGAAATTACTGGAAGCACAAAAAAGCAAGATTACGGTATAAACTAGTATTTGAGTAACTGACAATTAATTGCTGTCATTGATACGTTTTATATATATATATAGACAATTTCTTTGAAAGTGGCAAACTCGTATACCTCAGGCAGCAGCTGTGCTTACTGGTCAGGAAATAACTGAATAAATTGGTCCATCATTTTGTAAGTAGCTGTGATCTGACTTTATGCTGCACAGTACGAGTCTGTGAACGGCAGGGTGCAGTGAAAGCAAATAGTATCCTCACTGAAGAGCTGTGCAGCTCATTTAACAGTTTGATGTGGATGAAAATGACTTCTTGGCTTTTTTTGGTTTGTTTTTTGGGTGAATAGTAGCAGAAAATTGATGACTGACTGTTTTACCAGTTAAATTCTTTTCATGCCAAGCTGCAGCAGAAAATGCTTAATTAAAATAATAGTAATTTAATACAGTGTTCTATTAAGGAAGATCACCACCAAAAACAATGTTTTTAATCCTGCAAATATATTAATGTTGCATTGTTTTAATCAGCAGGCTCATCATGGGCTAAATTCTCCATTGCATTGTCCAGTTTCCTGAAAAGACAACTCCAAACCTCCGTTCTTCATTTGTGTCCACAAGCATTTTTTCCAGTCCACTTTGGACTTGTTGCTAGGCAAACAGTAACCACACAGATGCAGAATGATGTCACCGGTTTAGATAACAGTTATCAGATAACCCCCCCTGTCTCTGACATCCACCTTTGCGTCTGAGTACTGTTCCCACCACTCCATCAATGGACTTTTACCTTTGATGGCGAGCACTGCACATGCTCATTGAAAATTAAAATCTTCGAGTTTGCCACTTCAAACAGCAAATCAACATTCGTTACAGTTTAATTTATGGAAAAGTAGCGAAATCAATTCAGACAGTTTAAATTCAACACCCTTAATTGCACACATGAGAAACATCCGAAGGGCCGGCACAGTGACGCAGGTCGTTAGTAGCGGCCGTTGTACATGCCTGACGGTTCACTGGCCAGCTGCAGGAAACAGGATAAATTATTACTTACATGCTAACATTTAACTGTGAGTGTGTGTGTATTATAACAAATTTACTTACTGCAATGGCTGACTTAACAGCCTGCAGCTGGAAGAAGACTTTGCCTCCCTCCTCTGGACACACAGTCCTTATTTCTTGTTTATTCATTCCCAGAAGCTGTTGTCCACTCAGCACCCCGAGGCTCCTGACAGTGCTGTACAAGAGAACAAATAAAATGACATTAAATGCAAGTGTTATATAGATTGCAAACATGAACTTGTCTGTTGCTCCGTGGAGAATGAGACTCACATTTTGGAGAAGCCTTTGTACTCAAGCCAGGCTTGCACCTCTGCAGGTGAGGAGGACCTGTCCAGGGTGACAGGCCCGCGAGGATCTCGCTGGAAGGAAGACTGAAATATCAAATGTGAAGGCTGTTTATGAGCAAACATATTTATTTATGTACACGCTTATGAATATGCCCAATCTGAACGCAAGGCACAAAGTATTTTTAACAAGAGGCTTTCTGGTTTCTGATTGGCGGGTAGTGTTTGAACAATGATGGAAAACCACATTGCTCGATTTCTAGGGAAGCTCAGATCATTTAATGTTTGCAGCAACATGTTGGAGATCCTTTCGAGTGCCATCTGTTTTGCCGTTATCTGGTGGGTGGGGCAGCATCAGTGCCAGAGATGCCAGCAGGATCAACAAACTAATCCAGAAGGCCGGAAGCATCATTGGTCAGAATGTGGAGGCGTTTGAGTCCGTTAGCGTCAGAGGTCACTGAACAAACTGCTCTCCATCATGGACAACTCATCACACCCACTCCACTCCACACTCAAGAGGCAGCAGAGCTCCTTCTCCCTCAGACTGATTCAGCCTTTTTAACTGACTTAATTTGACTTTTTTTTGTTGTTTATCACTGTAGTAAATTTATTAATTCCTGCACTATCTCATAGTATAAGGTCCTTACCAGCCGCCTGTCGCACTTTTATTTTTAACTGTGTTGTTTATTGTAGACTGTATCATTTCTACTCTTTATTATGCTGCTGTAACAAATCAGTTTCCCTTGTGGGATCAATAAAGTATCTGTCTGTCTATTTGAGCAGCTGTTTGACTGCAGGCAAGTAAACAGTGTGGAGATTCAAAGAGTAAAAGCATTTGCCAAAATCTTGAAACCACATGACATTAAACTTCTTCCACATTTAACATTCATCCCAATTCGTAAGAAAAGAAAAGCAGAACAGTTATGATAAGTCGTCCTGCTGGAAACCATCAGATAATTGTTGATGGGTTCCCAGGTTGCTTGCGCCTCAGCTCACCGGTAGGTCGTCCATGGGTCCGGGGTTCCCTGACGACTCCAAAACATTCAGAGGAATATGCCCTTCCTGGTTACGCGCGTTACGAACAAGCCACCACTGCTTTGCTTTCTGGATCACCTGTGAAAGATCCAAATCCAAATATCTCAAATACTTTGGATTTTGGCAATGAAACTACAAGTTTAAAGAAATATTAATCTTATCTGTCAGTCATTCTGTGCTGCAGCTGCAGTGTTTGCTAGAGTTATTTCAGATTCTAGTTTTGCATTTTAATTTCCTCTATAAGGTTCACAATAGTTACAATACTGGTTGGAAAATATGTGATACAGTGGCTGAAAGGCTGGAAGGAATTGAAAAGATCTGCAGTTCCCCTTTTTCTTCTTTTGGAGCTGGAAAAAGTTATCTACAACACATTTTTAATTTAAGTTTTATTTAAGTTTACAATGCCCCAAATTACTGTTGCATTACATTGATAATGATACCTGATAATCCAGATCCCCTCAGAGTGATGGTATATTCCTAAAACAAAATCCTCATCCAGTTCCCGGTAAATGAAGGTTTGCTGTTTACTCTATTTTCTTAAATTTCAATGATGTAAAACAGTCTACATCACATAAACACTACAGATCCTGCTTTTATTTAAAGCTAGAGACAATCCTTATACTGTGTTGGACAAGGTAAGAATAAATCTTGTATTTGCAGTTGTTGAATAATATTTGTGATCTCACCTCAACCACCTCACCCTTCATAACACTCAGCTCTTGGTTGTTTCTGGCCACGAAGTTGTAAATGACACGCATGCTCTGGGGTGGTTCATTGGAGCTGAAAGAGCAGCAGACGAAATACACTTCGTATTGGCAGTGCATAAAATTGGAGGAAAAAGTGTTGGGTATACTGAAGAAATGTGATCATTAAGCCATATTTACTGCTGTGTAACAACACTTACGGTGCTGGTGGAGGTGATGGACCCCATGGATTGTTGCCCATAGGCTGTAAAAGTCATAAAATACACCAGGATTAACTGAAAAACCTCTTGATGATGGCCTCATTGGCGATATTGTTTTTCTGTTGCCATGAAAATTTAGATTTAAAGGTGCTGAGTGCCAGATGGCAGCAGTGACTACAATTCAAACAACCACTTAGTGGAGATTCTGCAGTTGGTTTAGGAGACAAACTCAGGTAAGCAAAACAACAGTTCAAAGCAATCTGCTAATCTACCAGGCTATAAACACATTACCAAACCAATTCCTAAAGCAGATGGAGCTACAGCATAACAATTAAGCATCAGCACGGAAACAAAAAGAAGTTTTAAAGGGCATGACTGCTGCAATACTTTGAGTTCACACCCAGGTATGCTACACTGTTTGATGAGCTTCTTTGTTAAGGATGAACCAGGGGGTCATAATAAGTTCGTACCTCGTCTGGCTGCCGCAGCGTCGGTCGGCCTGGGAAGCGTTGGCTGTTGCTTCTGCTCATTGGACCGTTCTGAAAAGGCGACGGGGATGGTAGAGGAGGGGGCGGAGGGGGCTGCCAGCCATCATAGAACTCTGGGATGTAATCTGGGACGTTATCGTCCGGCCATCGAGACCTGCAAGTGAAACAGAGGGCAGGAATTATAAAATCATCCATGAAAATAACACTTATACAACCTGGTAAAAAAAAAAAATAGGTTGCACAAGCTACTTTTTGATACAGGGCTTATTTATTTTATTTTTATTAACCATCTGTTTAAAATTTTAAATAAATCTGCTAGACAACTCTGTCATTTGTCAGCCAGTTTCAACTGAACCGGGCCTCTCAAACATGTTTGTGCTGTTGGTGCCTTTTAAATAATTTTCATTACTGACAAATGAATTTGATAACTTAAAAAAAAAATAGTGCAATACTTTCTTGGCCAAGTATGGTCGCTTTTAGCTCCATCAACAACTGTAAAGCTCAAATCCATGTTTTAAAATACAGCTTCATGAATGCAAGGTTCTTTTTTTATATTGTGTTCTCCTTGTTTACCATAATATAAAATTATTTATATTATTTATTACTCATTTATTCATAGTGCATAAATCAGCAGTAAATAAATAATAAATAATAGAGAACCTTTGGGTTGTGTGTGAGGCATTTGGCTGAGTGTAGTCAGACTAATAGTAATCTTTAAATATTTGTGAACCATTTCTCATTTGTAATAAAAGTCAAGCCTGTGGTTAAAAAACTGGTAAACAACAAGTTGCACAACAATCCCTCAAGTCTTTCGCTGTAAATGTTAAAGAGGTTGTTGAACTTTGAACATGATTCTCAGCTGCAGGTGTCCTTCCAGATGAGCATAAACACAGAGTCTGAGTTTATTTTCACAACTTAGCAACCGTAAAGCTCTTCTGACTAAAAATGAATCCATGAGTCATTCAGAAAACAAGGAATGGTTCTTTCTTAGTATTTCTATGTTTTACATTGATTATTCCAAATTAAACACTTTTTGCACACAGGAATCAATTTGAATACAGCACATGCAAACAGACACGGCCCACAACAAGTTAGGGCATGCCAGGGAAGGTATAAGTGTAGTTAAAGTTAAAGGGCTAGATATGAGAACGTTCAAAGCTTGATAAAAAGACTAGTAAAAGTGTTAGAGGACTGTTAAAGCTGCCTCACCTGGAGATGTTCCAACACTCTCCCAGAAACATCCACAGCTGGTTCTCCTCCGGGGTGACATTTTGCTTTAGCAGGCCTATAGCGGGGTCTGTCAGCAAGGGGGAGATCACATTGGGAGGCAGGTCAAACGGATACTGATGAACTGTCTGTGGAAAAAAGAAAGAATCTAGTTATAACCAAACAAGCACTATGAATTATCAGTGTTGGGCAAGTTACTTTGAAAACGTAATTAATTATAGTTACTAGTTACTTCTTCAAAAAAGTAACTGAGTTAGTAACTGAGTTACAAGATTCTAAAAGTAATTAATTACTTGAAAAGTAACTATTGCGTTACTTTAAAAAAAAAGTTTAACCCTCTGGGGTCCAGGGTATAATTGGCCATTTTTAACTACTTTTGATTTTCCCTCCACATTTCACCTTTAAAAACTATTTACTTTGCCTTGTTTGGTATCATTCCTTTTCAGCACAACCTCACGTGTCTGAATTTACAGTATGTTTTCATTTTGACAGACTGTATTAACACAATTGATCTAAAATCAGACAAAAAACATAAAATCTGAGTAGAAAAAGTTATATTTTTTACTGTTAACAACCACAAACATGTTTATGAATCATATTTTTTCATAACTTAAATTAATATAATTGTCAATTTTAAAATCCTATGCACAGGTTTTGCAAACAACAAAGTTATTTGCAGCCTTTACCTTTTTTTAAAATAACCATTTCAAACTATTTACAGAACAATCAGCTGTTCTGCATTCAATAAGATGCCACACAAATTATTTGTGCCACTCCAAAAAAAGTATTTCTGTCCACTATAAAGGAGAACATCACAACCTGATACCTGCATCGCTGTGCATATTATAGCAGCAGTCGTAGCAGTAGTGAGCTTACCATGTTTAAAATCGAGAAGAGCACGTGGACAAACTCAGGAGCAGAAGGATTGACCAGTATGCCGTCCAGTTGGGCCTGTAATATGATAACGACTCTTTCAGTCACACACCAGTGCTTTTAGTCACAACTGTAAGCATTTAGACAAGTTTGTTGTAAAACTCCTCACATTAGTTTGTAATGTGCAGAGACTGAACTGAAGGACTTACCAGCAGATTGAATCCATATTTGACTTTCTGAAGAAAGGAGGCATATTCATCCAAAGAAGGCAGATTGAGGGGTGGTCCCGAGGGCTCTGATAAGCAGTCACATTAAGCACTTATTAAACTGCCTGTATCTGTAGGTTATCCTTCATAGGTTACTTGTTTGTGAAAAACATAGACTGATGAAGGCTATTACCATTTTTCTTGCTTTTCTTCTTCTTTGTCTTCTTCTTCTTGCCCATGTCCCCTTGCTGTCCAGGTGTGTTTACTGCAGCTGTAACTTTGCCCACGAAGATCTCCAGATCATTTAGAACATGGTTCAAAATGTCCTAAAAGAAAGCATCATATGAAACTCTCAAGATAAGACAGATAATTCCACAGGAAGATTCAATAATTCATGGAAAATACAGAAGTTTTCACAGCACTAACCGTGTTCCTCTGTGACTCTGTCTTATCACGGTCCATCTCTGGGTTGCTATGCATGTCATACGGGTCTAAATGGTTCATTGGTTCTACTTGTGGACTATAGGGACGTGAGGAAGGCATATGATCTGCATTGCAACAAAGAGAGAAAAAAAATTTCAACAGAAGCTGGTGTGACTTAAACTCGGAATACTAAAAATACTGAGTTTATTTCTTATTTGTAGAGAAGAAATGTAAAAAGTGAATTTCAGTCGCAGTGAATTCATTAAATAAATTGAATTTCTCTTGGATAATAATGATAATTTCTTTATGTTTCTACTGTACCCGGCTCTCGCCACGATGGGGCCATGAAGTCTGGGGTTGGAGCTCTCCACTCTTCCTGCATAAAGGGGGGCGCAGTCTGACGGAAACTTCCCGGCCTATGTTGTGTCATGGGCTCAAATTCATTCCTGGAAAGAAATGATTAATGAATGTACTGTACTTTCCACATTTGTCCTTCCTGCTTCCCTGTAATTAAATCTTTTTTTAACACCCTACCTGACATCCGGAGGCTCTCTGTGTTGGTCCAGATTACCACCTCCTCTTTGGACTGCCTTATCCAGGTCGCTCTTGATCAGATCGGCCTGATAGAGCAAACAGGAAGAAAAATCGACATTACAATTATCATCAGCTCTCTGGCGACTTTGAGGAGGTCAAAGTTAACTCACCCCAGTCTCCTCACACTGGAACATGAAGCACCGGCGGTTGCGTTTGCTGCGTTCCTGCACAGTTATCGCCAGCAGAGAGTTGAAGTCGCAGCTGTCCAGCACAGCTTTGATTTGCACGATACAGCTCAAAGGTACCAAGTCCAGTTCTGTCTGTCAAAATCAGATTGATCGAACGTTAATAGCCAACACTGAAAGTCTTTAAAAAGAGGGAAAAGGGGAATTTTAAAAATGGTCTGGCATTTTATTTTGCTCATACATATTTTACATGTTTTTCAGATGTTTCCATTTCATAATTAGAGAATTTTTCTCACACACAGCTTAGCGCTTTAAACAGTTATGGTTGTGTAACGGTTTTGCTTCACCTGGTTGCACTTTTATATACTCTTTGGTATGGGAAATGTTACTGCTACAGCACAGAATTATATTTAGTTTTGTTGAAGAAAGTGACCTTAATCTCAAACCCATCAGGACCCTTTGGGATGAAGTGGAACAATAACATTAAATAGTGGCCTCAAATCCCAGACGGTAACTTACATAATTTTACTAACAAACTGAGACAATGAAGTAACATTACTATATCATTTCACTTCCTGCACAGACAAGTTTGCATTATTGCTGCTGTATATCACCACAGCAGATTTTAAATCAATAAAGTCGTGATTGAAGTGCAGACTTTCCGCTTTAATTCGAGAGGTTTAACAAAAGTGCTGCATAAATTATTTAGGAATTACAGACACACAGTGCCCCATGTGCAGAGGCCTAAAGTTAATTGGACAGCTAACAGGTGAGGCCTGCTCCCATGTTAGTTAATGACAAATGAAGCAGACGTAATATCTCAAGTTAATTCAAAGGGATGAATTTGTGTTTTATAGCTTTTCACTGTCATTTTAATTACGAGTCAATGTAAATGTGGGAAGCCATCATTAAGATCACAAAACAAAGTAAACCAATAATCAGAGACAGCAACAACTTTAGTAGTGGCCACAACAATCTGGTTTAGCATCGGTTAATTGATGTCTTAATTATTTTAGCATCCGTTCGCTTCCGCTTATCCTTTTCAGGGTCGCGGGGGGGCGGGCGCTGGAGCCTATCCCAGCTGTCAAAGGGCGAGAGGCGGGGTACACCCTGGACAGGTCGCCAGTCTGTCGCAGGGCCAACACACAGGGACAGACAACCATTCGCACTCACATTCACTCGCACATTCACACCTAGTGGCAATTTGGATTATCCAATTAACCTATCCCCACAAGTTAGGCATACAAAACCACTGGTTATATTTAAGAACGGGAAGGTCAGATTAAACGTTGCCAGAAAACATCTTAGAGAGCTTGCACAGCTCTGAAAAATCTTTGGAATGATGGAACAGAGAAAAACAGAGAAACAGCTCGTGATCGAAGCATAACACATCTGTTAAACACAATGGAGGCAATGCTATGGCGTGAACATGTATGGATGCCAGTGGATCCCTCACCAATAGACTAGTGTTTATTGATGATGTGACTGCTGATGGAAGTATCAGGATGGACTGTGAAGTGCTTTCTGCTCAGATTCAGCCAAATGCTGCAAAACTGTTAATTGGACAGCACTTCACAGTGCAAATGGACCCAAAGCAAACCAAGAGAGGAAAATAAATAATATTCTTTACTTCAACCGACCAGCTTTTCAGTCACTAAAGACAAAACTGAAGGCAGAGACCCACAAACAAGCAGCAGCTGAAGGTGAAACACAGCGTTTGATGATGTCCATGAGTTCTACACGTTAGGGAATCACCTGTCATATATATATATATATATATATATATATGAATATATGATATATATAATAATATTATAATATATATATATAGTATATCAATAATACCAGTGCAATTTTCTGAACCCCCTGAATTAAAACTGAAAGTCCTCACTTCAGTCACATTTTGAGGGTTTCAAATCCACTGTGGTGGTGTGCCGACTCAAATATCTGTCCAACAATCATACTATAATGTCCGTTCCAGACATTTCATTGTTCTTCTAGAAGTGATGAACCTACTTTGGTCTCAATGTCATTGAGCAGAAGATATGGTCCCTGAACCTCCATGATCATCTCCTGAGGCCACAGACGACCTTTGGCATCCAGGTTCTTGAGCTTAGCCATGCAGTCGTCCACGGTCTTCACCTCCTGGCCATCAATCTCACAGGTGAAAAGATGCTGTGGGTTCAATTAGGAGGGTCAGTGATGATGAGAGCTAAATGTTGTGCTGTTAGTCATGTGTATGTGTCCATGATGATGTAGAATTTATACTCATTTACCTCCACTCTGACACTGATGCTGTCAGGATTTTTGCTCAGTGTCTCCGAGTACTCCTTTCTCTGTACTGATGTAAAGAACATTCGATTTTGTGCAATATCATCATAAAATATGTATACCTAGATATGAGGCGTTGTAATGCCTGGACATACTGTAAATAGATCTTCCACTGGGTCTGGTTGAGTCACTTCTCCTCAGCGGACTCTCCCTAATTTCATCTTGTTGGAAAGCCCGCCTCGGAGGGAGGTCCTCCGATGTGAAGCCCCTGAAGAAGAAGAAACGATTCCTTAACATTCAGTTTCCTTCCACCTCCATAAAATCATCTCAGTCAAAGCTCAGCGATATGAAGATAAGCTATCCGCAGTCCACAGCTCAAGTAAGCTTCAGGGTTACTATGGCACGGTGCTGTTTTATTATGTAAGGGTGTGAACGGGTATGTATCAGAAACACCGCAAATCAGCGTCTTATAGCATATTAAACATAACTAGTGAACTTGAAAAGGAAAATTAAATCAACCAACTTTGGGAAATAGGAGAAGGGGGCACTGTTCCCAAACATCTTCAGTCTACCCCGGCTTTAAACTTTAGACTGGGAGGAATCACACAGAAACCACTTGAACCTGTAAGAAACACAAAATGATTTGTTTACGTTGGAAAGTTTTCAGATTCTCACAGCTTGGAGCAAAAGATTTCTTCTTAGCACTTAGAGTTCAAATTGATTTGATAAGCAAAGAAACACTTCCTCAGTTCAGTGTGCTTTTATTGCTTCTCACAGGTTCAGCATAGAAAACTACAACAAGGCTTTTCCATACAAGTGACACCACCGAGGCCTGTTTTCTTGTTATTTATAACCATGTTATCATGGGTAGTGCTTTTTTTTTTCCATTAAAAATTAAACACAGATTAAATATAAATATACGCAGAGTTACTAATCAAGCACGTAGAGGTTAATATAAAGTAAATCAATTACAAGAACTGCTTTAAGTCCAAGGACTAAATTAACAAACAGTCTGAATAATAATTTATCTTGAAGACTCATGAATACACAAACCAGCCTCGGTGTTTGTGTTAGATATTGGTATAAGTGACAGGTTGTTATTGCGGCTACATACACATTTTCTAAACACATCGAGTGGTTAAGACTAGTTTATTTGGTTATGTATATTTAAGCTATGACTGAAGGTGAGGAGCTTTCATGGCAACAACTACACACTTTCTGTAAAAGCAACGTCACATTTCAGAGCAGGACACAGTGCTGCTCTCAGCAGCTTTTTCCTTTTTAAACCACTTCCTATATAACCTGTCACTTGACCTTCACATAACTGCTGCATGCCGTTTTACCTTGTAGCCTCAGCTCTGCTCCGGTGTCATCGTTCCCTTCTTTCAAACGAATTTGGCACCAACAGGTCTCATAGCGGGAGTGTTCCTCACAAACAGCTTCGAGAAAAATTTCCTTAACTTCCTCGTGAAAGCAGCAGGATCAAAGTGCAACTACGTGATGGGAGTGACAGATCGCAAGGGCCGGCCCAATTTGTCACTTGAGGATAAGTATTTGAAGCATGGAAAAAAAGGTAGTGGCACATTATGAGGCCAAAGGTTTTGAAATTATTCATAGCAGCATTTCCTCCTCTACCTACAGGGGGATCAAAGGTCTCAAGTGTTCCTATTCTTGTGCCACTATCTCAAGCATACTCTACCATGGATATAAAACTGTGATGTCACTCACAAAATAGAGCAAACTCTGAATAAGAAAGACACAACCAGCTGAAGATGATAAGAGAACCATTTATTTTATCATCTGCTGACGTGTAAATACTGTACACAACCATAACGCTGACAGAGACAATCTATAAAGAAAGAATAGTTTATTCTGCAAAGAAAAGTGACGTCTCGTCTTCGGGCGATGAGTCTGGGACTAGAGGAGGCTTCTGTAGAGCGATGACAGTTTAGGCTGTAGCTTTGGCCTGAGTGGCCTTGGCCAACACCTTCAGGTCTGTGATGCATTTGGCAATGCTCTCCTTCTCCTAAAAAAACAAAACAAAAAAGATATTAAAACTCTGAAACATACAAGGAGTTGGTCTAGAAGTGAATTGATTAGACAGTAAAAATACATATGCATATAACAAATTAAAGAAAAAACATTGACATTTTTTAAATCTTCCACCAAGACTTTTTCTGCCAACACGAGCTTTGCCGATATAAAACAAACACAAGCAAATCAGTAAACATGAAATATCTGACAAACTAAACCATCACGGCCCAAATATGAGACTTTTATTTTTAAATCCTTAAAGATTTCTGTTGTTTGGTTTTTTTGACATTTCATGAAAAATAAATAAAAAGGTTTTCGTCTAAATATTTTGAAGAATGGGGCACAGTAGTTTGGGGTTTTTTAATAACTTTTATTTATTGGATGTCAGCACCCTAAGCTAGAAAAGAAATAAGAAAAATAAAGACTGACCTGCTGGGGTGTGATGCTGCTGATGACGCTGTTCTCCACCCAGTTAATCATGTGCTCTTGCTCCAGCCTACGGTTGAGGTCCTGCAGCGCAATCTGATAGTCCAAGCGCCTCTTCACCTCATTGGTCACCATATGTAGCCTCTCCCTGTAGTTGGTCTCCAACAGCATGGCCACGTTGTTCTGAGAGGAAAACAGGAGATAGGAATGTTTAACTGTAACAGCTTTAATGTGAAATTCCAGCTCTAGGGATACTTTTTCAAAATAATTAAAAAAAAAAAAACTTTTAACAAAAGATATAACTGAAGTAAAAAATGTGTTTTCAGTCAGGACATGTTCAGACATAGACTTCAATCATGTAGTGCTGTGTCCCAAACAAATTAGGGCTGTGAGATTTGTAATGCATTTATATACAGACTAAAGAATTAAATTCATTCTATTGTGACATCTATACAAGATAGTTTAGCTATATATGTTAAAATGGTACTGTCAGTCCGAAATCTGGCAACATTTGTATACTGACAGTTTATTTTGAGTGGAAATTCTCCATTTGTGTGAGAATGAGCACCATCATGTGGTTGGATTCAGCAAGTTACACATTTTCTTTTCACAGACTACTCCTGGAGGAGGCAAACAAATAAATAAATACATAAATAAATAATCATGCTGAAAAATTGTTTAAAATTTGATAAATATTAGGCTAGGCCCAGGACTAACGGTTACTGTTGATTTAGCGGTCAGTCCATGTTCCTACACCCACCCGTGGCTAATAGATTTGGACAGTGACTGAAAGAATGAGCGTCCTCTGAAGGGTGGCTGGATTCTCTCAGAGATGACGAGGGTGATGAGCTCAGTCACTCAGGAGGGAGCAGAAATGCTACTCCACTACATCATCAGGAACCAACTTAGATGATTCAGGCATGTGACTAGAACACCTGCTGGACCCTCCTAAGTGAGGTGTTTCAAGCATGTCCGGCAGGGAGGAGGCTCCAGGAAAGACCCAAGACACATCGGAGAGATGTCTCTCAAAGAGTTTGGACACATCTCACCATCCTACCAGATGAGCTAGAAGAGGAAGTCTGGGCATCTCTGTCAGACTGCTGCCCCCACATCCCAAAACGGAATAAGCGGCAGAAAATGGATGGATGGAATAATAAACCAGGAACGGCCTCAAATTATTTTCCCTTTTGTTGACAAATTAATTACACTAAAATTGCATGAGAGTAAAAGGTGGAGAACGAGTCTAACCTACATATTATTCAGCATATTTTAAACAGTGGTATCATTAAACTGAAAAATGTCATTTTGAAAGTACCCAGTTATTATCAACACTGGTATAGCCACCCAGAGTGATGAGCAACTCATATTAACAAAAAAATAAGTCTCGCCACAGACCGTTTGGTTCCCACAGAGTACTGTGGGGTACACTACAAAGCAAGTTCAACACAGCCAGGCCGTCATTGTGTTAGCTTGCTTGACAAAACCTAAAACCCAGTCGCAGATAATTGGTATCAACTCTTTGGTAACCCAGGTTTTCAGCTTCAGGATCAACATGCGCTCACAAACGGGTGTTTACTTCAGCCACAATAAATCCATCTGAGCACTGCCTACTTCAATCAGAGAAATTATCAGAGAAACTGATGGAAAAAAATTTTTAAACTGACATTGAAAAGAAAATGGAGCACTGTATAATAAGACGAGAGTAATGTTACGAATGACCATTAGTCATCAAGTTCACCAAGGATCAAAAAATAAATAAATATTGATGTAATCATTTATTTTATCACTAGGCGTAGTCTCTGTTGTAGACACTGGCAGATTAAAGCCTCTTCACCCATTAGTACTTGTCTAGTACCACCTATATGCACCGTGTTGTTATTGCAACACGGCTAAACGTCCCGTGACATCATTTGTACGCAACACGAACGCCACAACAAAGGTGTACGTCAAAGTGATGTGATACCTGCTGCTTGGTCAGTGGCTTTTCGTCAGAGTCGGGGAACCCGGCATTGGTTTTTGTAGCCATTTCCCTTGCAGAGTTTCAAAGATGTCAGTTTTGATTTTTGTAAAGGACTAGCCAGTTGATGACGAACATTTTCAGATCGCTTGGAACCCCGGCCAACTAGGTACTAAGGACTAATGGTCCCGGTATCAGGTATTATGACCTAATGGAAAAACCCTAAAAACCGCACTGAGCCAAGCCGGCGTGAGTAGGTACTAATGGAAAAGTTGCTGCACGGTGTACTTGTTTATGGATTTGCCTAAGAAGCAGAATCTCCCTGGTTTGATCCCAGTAGGAGAGATTTCACTTCGAATTGTATCAGAAACGGCATCAGGTGTAAAAATATGTGCTAAATCAAACATACAGAGCTACCAGCTGTGGTGACTGCTTAGGGCTAATGTGTTAACCACTACACTACAGACCCACACAAGGTTATAATTCTTCTGCTCTTGGAGCTGAAGGTGGCAGCTGTCAAAATGATGTTAACTGGAATACTTAAGTTAAGATACTGGAATATAAAAACTGAAATGAAAGGATGGTGATGCTTACCCTCTTGGCATCAAAGAGCATCGCCCTTCCTTCTACTCGCCACTGCTCCTTCTTCTCATCCTCAGTGGCTTGAACCAAGCTGGACATGGCGACGTCCTTCACCTCCTGAGCCTTGGCCACCTTTTCCTGAAGACAAAAGCAGCAGAAAATATTGGGGTCATTGGAAAGGTCGTGCACAAGAGAAAAGTCCTTTGGTACAGTACTCTCTCCACTGTGTCCAAACAAAATAAATAAATAAAACTTGACAAAAGGGATATGAAACCACAAAAAAAAAAAAAGGAAGAAACAAAAGCAGTGGTTATCAGCCTACCTCGTTCAGTTTGTCAGCAAAAGCTCCAACACTTGGCCCAAATTTCTTCACACCATAGATGATCACAGCTCCTATGGAGGCTGCAGCGAATGTCTCATGGTTGATGACATAGATTTCCTTAGAAAGCATGTACAGGAGGAGGCCAGCACCCAGCATGTAGGGTCCTATTGAGAGAGGAGGGGAAATACAAAGTAAAAGTGAGATGTGTAACTACCATTGCACTTAAGATCTTTGGAGACTGTTGATATATTTAAACAGAATCTTAAGAACCATCTATGAAAAATTTTTAATTGTTAGAATTATTTTTCACTTTTGTTCTTACTTGCTTTTGATTAGCTTATTCATTTCTTTTTGTAAAGGTATGAAGAAAAAAAAAACATTCACGCTGCAGGTTTTTTTTTTTTTAAACAAATACTTATTGTGAATGCATTCACAAAAACAGGAGTTTTCAAAAGTTCTGTTTCTGTCAAATGAAGCACGTTCACCAATCTGGATGCTTTCAGTGGAAGCAAATTGCTGTTTGCTCATAATCACATACCAGTCTTTAAGTAGTCCTTGCAAAAAAGAAGTTGAAGAATCCAGTTGATTCAGTGAAAATACTGTGTCCACACAATCAATTTTCTGTGACTTTTCACTTTCTTTAAGACAACATATGAATAATATTAAATGATCATTTTTGATTAAAGACTACACCTGTTACTCCAGTTTTGGGGTACAGCAGCTGGAATAACTCCTCTGGGATGAAGCCATGGCGGACCTTCCCTCCCTTCTCTGGCAGAGGGGGCACCGGAGCCAGACTCTGGGATGATGTGTGCAGACAGCGAGATGCATGGACCACACTGAGGGAGAAAACCACGATTACTAAGCATTTCTTTCTGATATGTTATTGAATATTGGTATTAAAACACACACATTCAACACTACAATGACACATACCCAGCTCCAATGGGGCCACTGCTTTTCAGGGCACTAGCTGAAACCCACAAAAAAGTAAAGTGTTAATTACTGTTTTCTCAATAAACACCATTAACAACAAACTTCTGAAAACATTAACGGTGTAAGCAGTCCAACACAGAACTATAACACTTAGTATTGGTAGCTATTTGATGGGCTTCGGGCGATCAGTTTGTGAGGTCATCAAAATTAACACAAACTTTTCCATAAAACATCGCAGAAAGGGCAGAAAGCCGACCGATGCTAGCTGTCAATAAGGTGACATTTAGGCGTGCAGAGCTAACGTTAGCTAACGTAGCGTCGATTAACTTGCCTGTGACCAAATAATTAAAACAACAAAATACAGAAACACTGAAATATCCAGGATTACCTTTGATAACGTCTGATATAAATCTGCAGCCAATAAAATTGCTACCATTTCCGAGGAGCTTGAAGCTATGCTGACAGTTAGCATTAGCATGTCTCATTCAATGTGCGGCCTTCACTTTACCCTTCAGCTCACTTTAAACTTTCCTGCCTCCTGCTTGACAGTCTGCTGGCACCAGCAGTAAGTAGCCTTTATTATCATTTTAAAAGCTGTTCTGATGCATACCTGAGACAAAAACGAGCCTGGACAGCATGTCTGAAGGATGAAGTACCAAGTTCCTACAACACCGGGGCACTCTTGTTTCGGCCTCTCTGTGCCCTTCTCTGCAAAGAGCCGCAAGGATGGCGGACACAGGAGAAATCCTCGTGAAACAACGCGAGAGTACAGAAGCGCTTGTGGAGTCAACGCCCTCTAGTGGGCACTGCGTGCAAAGACACACACACGCACTGCCCTGAAATTGAAAATGGATTAATAGAAGTGATTAAGGAGTTAATGCAGAGAATTTGGGGTAATTTTTTATGATAAGATCAAGTTTTCTGGATCAGTTCATCTTGAAAGGTTGCTGACTTTAAACAAAAACGGCACAACACAGAATATGAAGCCAAACTGCTATTTAGTGTTATTGTTATGTAAGTTAACTGTTACATACACACAAGCATGCACAAGAAAACTAACTAATGAAAGTGTTCAAGCCCACATGCATCATTTGGTAATAATAAAAATACTCATCTAATAAAGCACACACACACACACCAATCTCCCAAGTGTTTTATCCCAGGCTGCACACAGGGGGAATTAGTTGTGTAGTCTGTAATCTTGAGGCCCACCCGTGTATGGCATCAGTTTTGTGTGAGTGGCTGGTGAGATAGAGGAACATATGACGCTGTGGTTCTCTTCACTTCCTGTAAAAACTATGCTCAACAGAAACAGCTACATGTGAAACACAGGCACGAAAAAAAACCCGGCACTATTTCAGAAGAGTGAGAAAATGGATGACTTATCAACAACCTCATGAAGCGCTCTCCCCACTGAATGAGATGGCCCAGTAGGTAAGGCTCAACCATGGTTTCCTGCTTAATAAGCAGCAGTTTGTCCTCGCTTTATCATCTTGCAGGTGCCAGGGCCTAGTCTATCGATGAGAAGTGCTTCACCCTGTAATTAAGGGGCTTCTCCTGTAAGGTTCAGCTTCTGCATTAGTATTTCTGAGCTACTATTGCAACCGCCTCTGCTCCACACACACAGCTTTCTAAACATCAGGTACTTTTGGCAGTTTACTTTTAATGCGTATACGGCTCACATCAGTTTGCAGCATGACCTCATCATACACATAACTTTTCTTTGTTTAAGTCTCTCCAGAATAAAAATATCATAAATACTAGAAAAATTCTCATTTACACCAACCCAGGTAGGAAGCTACATTTCAGACCTTTTCTTTAAAGTAAGTAGCAGTTTGAGTTTCTTCATTTATAACCTTTATCCATCACAATGTTTCTGCAACTTAAAAGAAAGCTGTTTTTTAGCTACTCGCAACATCACTTGATAGTACTCAGCTAATAACATGCCATGAATTTGATCTTTGTGAATGACTATAACCAGTTTCCTGATAAGCCACGCTGTCCTCGCAGGCTTGAGGTGACATAACAGCCAGGGGAGCTGCCATGGACGCCCTGGCCATCAGTGGATTCCAACTCTCGCCGGAGAAACACTTTGACCGAATATTGGACATCAGAGCAGAGAAGCGTGAGTACCTGCGAGGACGTAACAATGTGACTTCATGCCGCAGCCCTCCCAGAGACAGTACCACCTGGCAGATAAAGAAAGAACTGAAAGAGAAGAGGCAGTTGGAGTTTCTGAGGAGGAGATCGGTGAGCCCAGTGTGGCGTGAAGGCTCATCGAGAAGAAATTCTCCCTCACAGATATTTTCAATGAAGTATTACAGTTCAAGCTCAACAAACACCGAGAATGCTAAAGGATATCCGCCCATGGTTTTGACACCAAACAGCAGCATAAGCAGTGATCCAAGCACCAGCACATGGGTAAAAGATTGCATCAATTCTGCACATTTATCACCAGATCAGATTTATGTCTTCATAGGTCTGCTGTGAATAATGCCTTCCCCGTCGCTCTCCTCTCATTCCCTCAGGCCTCACTGTGGTCAGAACAGATAACAGTGATGAAGCAGGACAAAAGTCATGCAAAGAAGCAATCACCTACCTCCACGCCATCTGTGAAGGAATCAGAGCAGCACAGGGTGAAAAGTATTCATAAAAAGGACACGAGTGTAAACGGTAAAAAGAATAAATCATCGTGCCAAGCGCAAAACATCTTGACCAGGGACTGTTGAATCATGCCTTGTTTTTCTCCACATACAGCACAAAAGACAACGACAAAAACACTCATCAAAACAGAGAAGATTTACCAGAAATCATCTGTACAAACTGAAAGCATTCTTCAGAAAAAGATACTGAGAGAGACCGGCGTGCAGACAGAGTGAGTCTCATTTAATTCTAGTTTAACCTTTAAACCGCGATTTTACTGCAAAAGCATCTCTGATCTCCTCTCTCTCTGATGAGAAACTGTCCTCTGTGCAGGTCCGGACTCATCACCGTTAAAGAATCAGTAAGTTTCACAGTCCTGCTGTTTTAGAATTAGGTGACAGATTAAAAGGCGTGGGAGCACAGGCCACAGGTGAGGGCTAGGGTCGAGTCAGGTAAGCGTCACACGACATGATCAGTCGAAATAAAGTTTAGGCTAATCTGAGGGGAAATAGATGCTCTATAATCTGATGCAAAAAAAATTTCTTTAATTATAAAGCTCTACTGTTTTTACTGTCTCTTATCTCTCTCCTAATAGGATATTCAGAAATTAGCTGACTACCTACAGGTAAGCAAACAATATTTATCCTAAAATCATCCTGTGATTCATGAATCCTTTAAGGTTTTAAAGCCTGAACGTAGGAATAGATGCCAGAAAAGTCACATTTTTTGTGTTTAGTGGCCCTTCTGAAATAAGAAATAATAATTAGAGGTTAAAGTTGTATCATATTAGCTACATTAGGCTTATTTTTGCAATTTATTCCTTAAAACTGTAAAGTGCAATTTATTTTATTTTTTGGGGGGAAGAAAAATAATCACGTTGATGATGTAGAAGTCAAAAACTCACAAAACTCACTAATCGGATATAATACGCTTGGTTTTAAACAGTTAAGCTCTCATCACATTTGATCTGTCATCACTACTGCTTTCAATATTAAGTAATACATTTATTAATGTGCTCTGATGCTACTTAAGGACCTGATGACCTGTGCAGTCCAAAGCAGATGAAAACTGTCTTTGTGCGTTAGTGTAACTCTTTCTGCTGCTGCTGGGTTTCTGGCAGGAGGCTCTGTGGAGAGAAGATGTGATGAAGAAGAAGCTGGCTGAACTCCAGGAGAGCACGACAAACCTCGTGAACTCATCCAACAAAATATGGACAGTAAGGCTCTCCCTCTGTTTACACGCATCGAATAACACACATTTCGCACTTTATAAGGCCACACTGTTTTTCTTTCTGCTCTGGTGCACTGGCTGATATTACGGCTGTGTCAGGAAGGCCTGTGCAGTCTGTGGTTTGGAGCTTCCTGCTTCCGCGCAATTCTATACTGCATAGGACGAGTGCAAGCTGTCGTTCTTATACAGGAAGGGTGTGCCACTCAGTAGCTGTTAAAGGTGCTATGCATCCTCTTTACATCTCTTTTGGCTACTCTGGTTGCAATGAATGAAAGGAAAATATTGATGTTGTTTTTAGTTTTGTTTCCTCTTTACATTTTGTTTTAGCAGCTAAGCTGATCTACAGTTTATTCAGTCTCATTTATTTAGGTCTTCCACCTGTTGTTTCTCACTGAGGTATGTTATCATGAGGGGTCTTTTTTGCACTTATAACAAAGTGCGTTGTATCACACGCAGATATTGTGATCTCCCTTGAGGCTCACTGTTGCTTCGAGTTCCCCTTATGCACCTGCGTTCGGAGAAACAACGCGCTGTCACAGCTTTTTGGCACATGAACCATTAATTTTCCATCTGCAGGTTAGAGCGTGACAGTCATTCATTTCCTCTCTAACCCACACAGTCTCGCTGCAGTGAAGATCTGCTGAGAAACAAGATCAAGGCTTTGGAGGCGCAGCTGCAAGCTTGTCTGCAGGTGAGTGTAATTTAGTCTGTAAAAAAGCAACCACACTAATTTTTACAATATCTTGGTGGTGATTTGTTGCTGTTGTTATTATTTATTTACTGTCCAAGAAGTCAGACATTTACTCTTTCCAGTAACTAGCCTTGCTCTGGCATTATTCTGTCACAGGGTGATAGTGTAGCATCTTAAGTGTGAGTCTCTGTGGTTTTGATCTGGATCTCACTGGGTGTTAACAACTAACTCAGCAGTGTTGTGTCCCTGCAGAAGTTTCCAAAAGATGGTGTAAAGAAGCTGGTGGTACAGATGGAAAAGCAGAGGATGGTATATGAAGAGAAGGCCTTGATTGCCCTGCAGAAGGCCACACAGGAGAAAACTGAGGCCCTCAGCAAGGCTGAGACTCTGCAGGTCAAACATCTTTTTCTTTCTCTGTTTTACCACACAAAAAAGAAACAAGTGTCACTGAGGTTTCAGTTTGTTTGCCTTTTAGTTGATAGACTCAGCATCTGGTGACCTGGAAGCAAGTTTCCTAATTTGAGTATTTGCAGATGACTTTTCTTTTTAAAAACATCACATTTTGTGGCAACAGGAAGCGCTAATTACAGCAAAGGCAGAGGCCCTGAAGTGGCAAAGCCTTCATGAGGAGCTGAAGCTGAGCTCTGGAAAACTCAGGGAGAGCCAGCACCTCAGTAATGAACAGCTGCAACAGCTGCACAGCCAAGTGGAGGTATGTTAGGTTGTGACAACGTGCATGAGTGCGCGGTCAAAAGTTTAATTATAAATGTTAGAAATGTGAATTTATTTCTTGAATTATCAGCTGTGCAGAGCCAGAGAGCGTGAGCTGAGAGATGAGATGCTTTCATTGAGACAAGAAAAGCAGGACCTACAGTACAACATTTGTCTGCTGGAGGAAGACAACCAGACCCTAAGAGAAGAAATCCAGCAGCTCAGAGGCAAGACATCACGTTTGGTGTTTTTTAGGATTATTGTTAAATAGTGCACATTCAATATGTTTATAATATTTTCGGTGCCCTAGATGGCGAAGAGGAGAGTCAAGACTTCATGATGCAGGAGTGTCTGGCGTCACCTGAACCTCGGCTGACGGTGAGGAGAGACTCTCAGCTGGAGGACCAGCTCCGCCACACTCAGGAGAAACTCCAGCTCAAAGAGAGAGAGGTAAAACATGGACATTACAGTAAACTGTAGCTCATTCACAAGTCTGACTCTTTAATCCAAGCTTGCCACACAAGGAAAGTCCCAGCTAGGTGTTTCACAAAGTCACTAACAGGCGCAGGTAAAAATATTACCCCTATTATTTGTTTTTGTCTTATATACAAGGTAATCTTGTGCAGTATGTTTGCATTCCAACCACAGTGCTAACACACATGCAAGTACATTTTGAAAAGTGCCTGTCTGAGGATCACCAGCATTTAGCATTTTGAGCATTTCTGCATGTTCACGCTCTTTATTGTGTGCGTGCAGTGCGAGGAGCTGCAGGCAGAGCTGCACACCATGGAGCAGGAGTGTCAGTCCAGCCAGGCCCGGCTGTCGCAGTGCAGAAACGAACTCCGGCAGCTCAGCCACCGCCGCAGGGGACCAGTGAGTAGAGTGTGTGTGAGATCATTTAAGAGAGACTTAATGCCCTTGCAGCACTCGAAAGCTCTCATTGCCTTTATATTATCAGCCAGTAATTAAACCACTACATAATTCTAACACTCTGCCCCACTATGCTTTTCAACACTATCAGTTTGCTTCAGCTGCCCTGCAGTAACCAGCTGAGCAGCTGCTCATGCACATGAGTTATCATTGCCTGCTGATGATTTAATATCCACCTGACTAAATTATTTCTTTTCTTCCTGTTTAGACACCGTGTGGATCCTGGTGGAAGCTGTGCTTGTTCTTCCTTTTACTCCTCGCTGTAGCAGGGGTCGTAATGCTGTGGCTGTGGCATCCGCCTTTCAGGGAGCAAGTTGAGGACCTGTACTCAGACATAGAGACACGTATTGAAGATTATCTCATGAAAATGGCCTCTCCTCGACACTCGGGCTGCTTCAGACCAATATGACATTGCTCCAAATCTTGTTTTTTGTTGACGTTTTGTTGCTTTATGTCAAAATTAGATTTATATAGAATGTAGTTTGTTGACATTTTTGTATTTAAAAACTCTTTGGACTTGGAACTCGGTGTTTGCGTGATGTTTGTGAGGTTGCGTCGGGTTGGTGTTGGGGACAAGTGAGCAAAAAGTTCCAGTACGAGTAAAGAAACTCGGCAATGCTTGTTTTAAATTTGCCCAAACTGTTGGAAAATGTTGATGGCATTTTAAGAAACTGTGAGTTTAACTATGAGAACAGCGGAAAAACTATAGTGGTGGAGTAAAATATAAACAGCGAAGAGAAAAATCAAAAGGGTTCTTTTATTACTGTAACATGACTATTTATTTAGTCTTGAATTACTAAACATGTCACAGAATATATAGCGTGAGATGCAAGAGTGCCCCCAAGAAAGGCAATTATGTTAAAAATCACGATACATTAAACTGATCTCAGGTCAGACTTTAAAACATGTTTTATACTCAGATATATATATATATATATATATATAAGTGTAAAGTATCAACTATATATATATAAGATGAATTATATATATATATAATTAATATATTATATATATATTATATATATTATATAAATATATATATATATATAATAACTTATATATATATTCTTTGTCTTGTTTCCCAGAGAGAACACACAGGAAGGAATTTTTTGAAAATAAAATATTTGGACGAGGTTTGAGAGAGAGAAGAAGATGTGTGTTAACAGAATGATAATGCTAATTTATTGATGGATCATTAAACCAGTTTGAGATCATAGAGGATGACAGGAGTGTGAGTTTCATACCTGTGTGTCAGTGGAATGAGCGTCATTTCTATTTTGACAGCAATGAGCTACTTTGTAGGTAAACTATAATTTTGATTAAAGTTTATTTTTTAAATTAATATATTCAGCAGGACATTTTAAGGTCCTTCAGTTTACTGAGAGTAACACCACCACATCTTACTTAAGAGCATATTCATTCATTAGTTATATACTCTCACTGGCCACTTTATTAGGTACACTTGTTCCACTGCACATTAATTCAAATATCTAATCTTCCAAGTCGCATGTGGTAATACATCAGTCACATGGTAGCCACTGAACGCATTCAGGCATGCAGGCATGGTCAAGGCAACCAGCTGAAGTTCAAACTGAGCATCACAATGACAAAGAAAGGGCATTAAGTGACTTTGTGGCATGGTTGTTGGTGTGAGATGGGCTGGTCTGAGTACTTCAGAAACCATTTATCTACTGGGATTTTTCTGCACACAACCAAGGTATACAGGAGAGCATCTCTGAACATACGAGATGTCAGCGTCACCAAGCTCCACAGTCACCACTGGGACGTGGTGGAACTTGTGATTCACATCATGCGTGTACAGCCAACAAATGTAGATGTCATCATGTTTCTGAGGAATGTTTCCAGCACCTTGTTGAGTCTGTGCCATGAAGAATTACTAAAGATCTAAACAGAAGAGAAGGCCCAACCCAGTATTAGCAATGTGTACCTAATAAAGTGGCCAGAGAGTGCAAGTATGTAAGTATTCACTCTGCAGCAAAACGAATCCTCCCAGTTACATTATTTATATAAAACACTGGGTCATCATTATTGATGTGTAATGCTGTAAAACTATTTCAGATTCTCAGGTTGTTTAATTTATAAAAGGCATCATATTAAGCAAAAAAAAATGATTTTATAAATCTGTGGCTAATTTTCTTAGCTACTTATCCACTTAAGCTCATGGGGACGATGGGGGAGGAAAACCCTGAACAGATCCCACACATTCTCAAATCCACAGCCAATTTAGAATCACATATAACCTAATGTTCGTTAGACTGCAGGAGGAAGCCCGAGTCACTGGAACAACCTCCATGCAGAAAGGCCTCACCTTTACATGGTGGGACGTAACAGTGCTAACCACTGCACTGCGCTGGCCCATTTTATACATGTAAATGTTAATTGCATCATATTAAATGCTTTGCTGTGTAATATAGAACAATTACTGGAAGGTACTAAAGCAACAACAATAAGAAAAGCCACAAAAGACAAAACAATGTTAAAATATAACAACACATACACACAAAAAATACATAAACTGTTTTCTTTGTGCTATTTTTTAAGAATGCTTATCCCATTTTAATGGCACTCTATGTGGATTTCATCTGTAGTCCCAAAAAGAAAAAGAAAAACACTGTCTATCTTACACACAGGTGACACACTGCCTCACACTGGAAAAGCCATCACAGTAAAAACTGCACCAGTCATCAGAATGTTCTTTTTAACAGCACCGTGTGGTAATTACCAGCTGCCAAACTGACAGGAGGATTTGTTCTACACACATGTTCATGAAGCGGACATGACACGTGACCGCATCTATTGTCTGATTACGCTCAAACTTAGAGACAAAACGCACTCAGAGCTGAGCTCTCTGAGTTGGACGGAGTCATTGTTCATTATGGTGCTTTTAACTGTTCCAGATACAGCTCCATTCTCAGTAGGCGCTGACACAGCATATCCACCACACGTCTGCACCCCCTGACTCCCCCGCCCACATTTACCTGTATGTTCCCGTGGTCACTGAAGAGATGGCTCTTTGCTGGCCTGAGATCAGTCTCCCGGTGACAAACGCACTGAAGGTAAGGGGCTGAAGATTTCTGTAGCGTACTTTAAAACATGACAAGTGAGGCTCTTGCAAACTTTCTTTGTGCTTGCAGAGCACGATGAGGACCGCAGGGCTGCTGTTTGTTGTTGGGCTGTGTTTGCTGGATGTCACGTCGTCCCTTAAAATCTGTGCTTTTAATATTCAGAGCTTTGGAGAATCCAAGGCAAACAACAAGAAGGTTATGGGGATTCTGCTAAAGGTACTATGTGTCTACAAAAACACCTAGATTGATAGCTGAACAAAGCTGATGGATCTTTGTTTTTTCTGCTTTTGCTCCCAAGATTCTTTCTCGGTGTGACTTGTGTCTCATTCAGGAGGTCCGAGACTCTAAAGGAGAAGTAATACAAGCTTTGGTTAAGGATCTTAACAGGTACAAGGCTTATGTGGTGAATCTTCTGTGCCATTTAATAACACTGACCAACTTTAATTTTGATGTTATTTTCTAACCAGGTTTGACAAATACAACCCCTACTCTTACGTGGCAAGCGAAAGGCTCGGGAGGAAGGCCTATAAGGAGCAATATGTCTACATTTACAGGTAATTCATGCTGTATTTCCCATTGCATTTGAGCCGTTTCCTTATATGATCAGGCTAAACCTAGTGTGCTTTCCTCTCCCATGACTTACAGGAGCAATGTGCTGAAGGTCAAAGAGCATTATCAGTACCCTAAACTCGAAGGAAAGGGGACCAATGAAACTGATGTTTTCTCCAGAGGGCCCTTCATCATCCACTTTCACTCCCCCACTACATGTAAGGTTAAAAGGGGGAAAAACATGAAACTTCAAAGAGCTTTGTGCTGGCAAAAATAAAAAATGAGTCTGACTTGTCATCCAGAATCGTTTTCTCTGGGCAAATCTAAACGACTTAATGATTTATGATTAGGTTCTCTGGCTTCTAAATGATTTTTGCTTTCTAATTATTTGCTTCACAACAATGTTAACGATGAGCCACTGTTCCAGAGGTGTCACAGACTGTTAGTGTTGGGTTATAACCTTGTAGGTTAATCTTCAGTGAATCTTGTTACACTGTAAACAATTGTGCTGCCACTAAAGCTCACCTTGATCAAAGGTGAATAAAGATCCAGCAAAGTTCACGCAGCCACAGAGAAATTGCACCTTTGTTGAATTTGGAGGTCTGAATGAGAGACACACAGTCAGACTGGACCGCGGCGCTTTGTGATGTTTTTTGTTTTCAGTGGTGAAGGATTTTGTCCTGATAGGGCAGCACACCAGTCCAAAAACCGCCATGAAGGAGCTCGATGAACTGTACGCTGTCTTCAAAAGGATTTACAAGAAGTGGAAGACAGATGTAGGTTGAAACACATCGTTTAATCCCTTTTGCTTTCTTTAGCAAGATCTTGGTTCCTCATCATGTTGTTTGTAAGAATTTTCATGATTTTTTTTAACTTCCCTTTACTGGCGTGCTTTCAGAATGTGATCATCTTAGGTGACCTGAACGCTGGGTGCAGCTACATCACCGCCAAAGGATGGAGAGCCATGCGCCTGAGGAGTGACCCCAAATTTCACTGGCTAATCGGAGACGAGCAAGACACCACCGTCAGGGAGAAGACACACTGTGCCTACGACAGGTCGGTGTCTACAGTGACTTGGTGCACATATATTGGAGTTTCTTATGCCCAACTATAAAGTTTCCTCATTGTGAAACAGGATCATCGTGCACGGACCGGAGGTTGTTTCCAGTGTAGTCCCAGCTTCAGCTCAGCCCTTCAACTTTAAAGAGCATTTCCATCTAACTGAGGCAGAGGTAAACCTCTCAAAAGAAACACCTCCCTCGAGTTCATTTTCTGACTTAACTTCAACTTTTATTCTGTTCTTTTGATGACACTTCAGGCTCTTGAGGTCAGCGACCATTTTCCTGTAGAAGTTGACCTGAAGGCCAACCACCGCTACTTCCTCCGCCATGAGCTGTAAACCAATCACTAATGTTTTTGCAGTGTTTTGCTTGATTTTAATGAGTGGATGATGTAAACCAACAAAATACAGAGCTATGTTTTTGTTTTTTTGTTTTTTATAATGATCCTAAACTGGCACTGCACTCCTCTCAGTTGCACCAATAAACTCGAGTTTTTTCAGCAAGTAAGAACTGCGTGCTTCACTGCTGGAGTTTATATTCTGCCCCTGAAACCAAAACCACATCAAAGCTGACATCATTTCATGAGCTCATGAAGGTACGTTCCTGCAGCAACGCGAAAACACAAAACATCACTTTTGGACTTTGCTTTCCAGAGGAACCTGAGAAAATCATCTTAAATCTTCATCCTTGATGGTAGGTAAACATCACGTGGAGACTCTGTGTCGTGCATTTCACTGAATGTTTCAGTTTAAATATGTAACCTCTGCACGGTCTGTTTGACAGGAAGCTGCTTGTAGCTACAACAGATGAGAGTTACTTCGTGCGCTCTTCCTTTCTGAGACGAGAGATTATCTGTGCCAATGCATTAATTTTTTGTCTCGATATAACTTCTAAGATAAGTTATTGGTTTTGTCTTTGTAAAGATGGAAGGTTTTACTGATCTCCTAACAGATGCATTTTCAGGTAAGATATACATATGTGGTTATTTCTGGCATTTATAG